TATTAAAATTCAAACAACATTTGTGAATTTTGATACCTTTCACCACGGTTTATTCGTTTGAAATTTTAATTAGTTATAAAATATTTTTATGATGTAGAATAATTATATATTTTATGTTGGGTTGGGTTTTTACTTAAAAATATGGCCAACCCGACCCAACCCAATTAGAAACAAACCGTAGGGTTTAAATTTTTTTGGGTGGGTTTGGGTTTGATATTTTCCAAACCGTAGTGCATGGGTTGGGTGATTAAAATGGCTAAACCCGGACCACCCGACCCATGTACACCCCTACGCAACATCTTTCAAAAGTGGCTATTAGTGGTATTTCGCCAAATGTGGCTATAAGTGGCACAAAGGTGAAAGTTTTGGCTATGCAACTGTATTTTGCCTATAATTTATAATGACCGTTAGATTAGATCTACGGTAGAGAATCATACAAGTATTCATTCCATAGCCTAACTCCTTCGATTTAAAACTAGATCGATTAAGGTTTCAACTTCAATTTTTTTTACAAAAACTTTTGTATATAATAAATAAACTTTTCTACAAATACGATATATCCAGCTCCAAAATCTAAATAACTATCACAATCAAATCACTCAACACTAATTACAAGACTCAATCATAGATAATGGGGATGATGGTCAAGGTAAAATCAAGCCGCAAAGTTTTACTATTTTGAATTTTGGTGGTATGAAATTCAAATTTGTCAGAAGTGTATATTACATGATTTCTATTATAATGCCTTTTTAGACTCGCACAAACCAAACTTATTGTATAACCCGAATAGTAATGAAAGTATACAAGTTCACTAACCAAAATAATATGTAAACACATGGTGTTTAAACATGGCAAATTGACCGTGTCACAACCACATAATGTGTTGAAAACATATTGTTCTGACGAAAGAGATATATCTAGTGAGTAGTATGGAAGGTTTATTGTCCAAATGCATGGTATGCACATGTAGATCGCTTTTTCATATAATATAGTTACGGTAAAGCCATTGACTTCTATACAAAAATTGTCATCGTCTTCATTTATTTTGCTTTACTTCCTTAATCATTTTTGTTATTATCATCGATTCTTTTCTAACAACTCTAAGAAGTCATGAGTTCCCTAGTTTTATTTTTTTGTTAGTTTTATGTTTAATTGTTACAACCTATATATGTATACAAAACGTGTACGTTTAAAATATAAAAAAACTTGTACAACATTGATGGTTAAAATGGGCTATTTTCATCACAAGGTTGCCTGTTCGATTCTCCATATTCTCTTATTTCTTTTACCCACATCCATGTAATCATGTTTCAACTACGCTTGTGGAACGACGTCGTCCTGGGGACACTCTCACTTTAGCAGCGAGCACAAACGACGACGTTTGTCATGTCTCGTCGTCTTCCCTGGGCAGTAATTGGAGATAACCATGGTTTTGATGGCTGTTGGGTTTTGATGATGATGTTGAGATAAATGGTTAGCTATGGGGTAGTTTGGGTGAACAGATGATGGCCTTTTGAATAGTCGAATTGGGGTGTGGGATGTTGATGATACAGTAATTTGAACCAAATTAACCTGAATTTTTTCATTACTTTTCATTAGGCAACTGATCCTGTTTATAAGTAATTGAGAAATGTTTCGATAAGTATAGAAAGATACAACCAACAATTCATTAAGAAGGGCAGAACCCGTACAAAAAAGCATTGTGTTCACACACTTAGTACACTTGCATAACAAGAGAAATAATATTAAGGCGGACACTAAGCAACTTTAGTAGATTCTATTTACATTGTTGAAATGGTATTCAGTTTCCGGGAGGAAAAAATAATTTTTACCAATAACAGTTCAAAATAACTCGACACATTGTTCTAAGGACCCAATGCGACAATAAACTCATAAGGGTTTCCACCAAACAAGTTGATAAGGGTAACGAAATCGGCATTGTCCATATCTTTATCACTTACTACATCTGAAACGATTTTGCGCAAGTTTGTCGATGGGAAAACAACCTCAAGATCCAAATAATCATCCTCGATAGTTAGGGGGATCAAATGAACTCTACATTCAGCACACCAGAATGTCTTCACCTCGCCGACACGTCCGGAGATGAGGTAAGAAGTGCCCTGGTGTTTAAAACAAGAAAAGGAATTTCAAAAAAAAATTAACAAGCATTAACAAACACAATAACTGCAAACGAGATCGAGAAGGATGAATGACAAAAAAGTTTATTTCAATAACCTCATCGTCACCATTCTCTTGCAACAATGTAAGTTCGATTGAATCCGACAAAATAGACATAGATACTGCTTCCTCATACTTCAGCTTTGCAACGAAACCAGGCTCAACCATAAAGTCGCTATAAATAAAACTGTTAGTAATGGCTGACAAAAGGAATAGGAAGCGGAGTAGACTGTCGTAACGATTAGTTGGTAAACAATACTTACGGGTACCATTGCGATATATAATCCATTGTCAGAAAATTACAGCACGGAAACCCTACTCAATTTCTGTTCTTGCACGTACTGTGGATGTTCAATAGGAGTATAAGAACACATTATGATCAACTATTCTAATAGAACGTACCAAATAGTTAACAATCAATTAAAGAAAAGTACATGCGGCGGTGGAAACGTGGCCGGCAACACCGCGTGGTTAGTCGAGCAGATCGGGAATGAATCAGCTAGAGCGAATCAGCGACGAAGGTGGCAAGCAACGATGGTGGCCCGCTCTTCTTCCCACAACCGACGTGGTTAGTCCTGACGACTTTCCTCCGCTCTTCTTCCCACAAACGCTAGAGCGAATCAGAGCGGAGGTGGCAGGCGACAATGGTGGCCCGCTCTTCTTCCCACAACCGACCTGGTTAGTCCGGGCGACTTTCCTCCGCTCTTCTTCCCACAACCGCTACAGCGAATCAGCGGCGAAGGCGGCAGGCGACGATGGTGGCCCGGAGGATGAGACCGCTACTGAGCGACCAGCAGTTGATTGATCGGCGGAGGCGGAGACATGCAACGGAGGCGGAGGGAGGAGGAGGGCGGTTGAGTATGTGTGTGAAGGAAAACAGAGAAGGCAGCACATGGGGAGGGGAGAAGAAGTAGAAGATGAATCATTTGCTAGATTTGGTAGGTAAGTTAGTCTTCCAATTTTCAACTTTGCCATTATTGTTCTCCGTTTTTTTTTTTACAATTCATTATTGTTAAAGAGACAAAGGGAGGACTGCCGCCGATCTGCTCGACTAAGCCCTAATGGGCCTGGTACAAAAAGCCTGCTTAGTTTAGTTTTATGTTTTAATTTTACAAGAACTGATTTTACAATTATAAATACAACAGTGGAAGTATATTGAATCAAAACGCTTGTTCAGCAACAATGGTGAAAAATGCCCATGGTAATGACCAGGACGCTGGTTCGACCCTCACACCATTTCAAAATTTATTGTTTTCAGCTACACCTATAGAACGACTCTGTTCCAGACCACTTTCCATTCAGAGACGAGTACAAAACGATGGCGTTTTTTCATGTATCGTCGTCTTCCCTGGCCTCCCCCCCCCCCCCCCCCCCAAATTCCCAATTATCCAGTTGCCGCCGTCACCACTCACCACCGTAATCCGACGGCCATCTCTCTTCATCATCCAAACTTTCTCACTCCGTTACGATTCTGGACTCCGACCAAGAAAATTCCCTTGACGAGACCCAATCCCCTCTCTCCATTTCAGCCTTAGTCATTGTTTACACGACGTAAAGGTCATAGTCGTTCACCGTCAATTGCTTCGGATTCGTCGCGAAAGGGTAGCTGTCATATGCGACCTTAAAAACAGATGATGAGCCAAAGTCGATGTAGGTCGGAAGCAGGGACGATGATGATGATGGTAAAATTAGGGGTTCGCAATTGGGGTATCTAGAAAAATCGTAATGACGATGATGGTGGTTTAGGATTGTCGAATTGGGGCAACCTTTTAATGGAACTTTATTTTATCAATTGTATAATTTTTGGGTGTTCATTAAAAGATTTTGAAGAAATAAGGTATCATCTGAGTTCTCAAAAAAATGAATAGGCATCATGTGAGAAAATAGAACGATAATTATTATTGGGGGGCTTCATAGCACATATAATTATTTAAGGGGTGCAAGTAGTAATTATTATTACTAATTTTAATATAATTTATAATGACCGTTAGATTAGATCTACGGTAGAGAGTCCTGTCGCATAGTATGTGTCTGACGCATATGAGTCGTATCCATATATATATATGTTAAATTATTTTTTATCCAATGATAACAACTTAACAAAAGAACACATGCATATGCATATGTATGAGACATTATAAAAAATTTCATGATTGAAAAAAAGAGGCCTTTTGTTGGTTAGGTTATCGCACGGTTATTTTGGTATAAGCTTGCCGAATCACTTGGTTAACAATTATCTGGTTAACCGACAAAATAAACCAAAATCGACTATAAGATTAACCGATTAATTTAAACGGTGCGATTAACGGTAAGCACAAACTCTGCAGATTTCCATCAAATTGAATTTTATAACAATCACTCGACCAAATTAATAATGATAATAAATAGACATTTTATAAGTTGTGCCATGTACATTCATATCATTGTAACTCCTTACCGGTCCATACAAACATGTTACTGGACTCAATTTTATCCACATAATTAGAAACCACCCCAATTCCTTCTTCATCGAATCGATTAATTCGAGTTGATGCTCCGATATGGACGAGAAATGAGATCATGTTACTAGACTCAATTCTAACCACATAAGCTAAAGCCACCTTAACTTCTCCTTCCTGTAATCGGTGGACTTTGAATTTGAGTTGATACTCCAATATGACGAAAATCATGTTAGTTGTTTTTAACTTTGTTGGCGGAATTCATTAAAATTTAAAGGTGACCTATTTATATGCAATCCCTGAAGTCCTTCAAATATTTGCTTCAACCTTTTTCATTGTTAGCTACTATTCTTTGTTAGTTGTTCAATGAAATTAAAGATTAAATCTCTTTTGAATGGGAAAGTTACTTTGATTTCTTCAACCTTTTTCATAATGAAACAAGTTCACAATTTTTGCTATAGTCCACTAGTTTTCTTTCCTTCTTATAAACTAGAAAACAATAACGTTTGCTGCTATTCAGCGTCAAATGGCTGAAGGCAGCCTTTTAATGTACAATCAGTGACTTTCCAATAAGATTACCAACTAATAACTACTACAACTAGAAGTAACAGAGAAACAAAGCAAGGCCAATAGCAAATAAACTGCAGGAATAATGCCATGGCTCAGACTTCTGAACTTTCTACTTTGAAGTCTTTGGCTTAGCATTGCTGCCCTTCTCCTTCTTGGAGCTCGTCTTGCTCAACTCTGAGGCTGTGAATGAGTCCTTGACTAAGTTGGCTAGCGTCTTTTCCAAACGGATCGTTAGTTCCCGAAAAACCAATGACAGTGCATTCACATCTGCCATGGCTCTATGTGCGTCTCCCTCCAACTTGATCTCCAAACTCTCTTTCATAGCTTCCAGTGATACCTTAGAACCCTTAAAGTGTTGGCGCGCAAGACCGAGAGTACAAAAGAAGAGCCAATCGTGAGGAATGCGGAAAGAGCATCGCTCGAATTCGCTCTTGAGGAATGGCACGTCGAAAGTACGACCATTATGAGCTACTAACAGCACGTATCCTCCTTTCTTCCGGCGGCTTTCTATGTACTGGACCATAATTGGTATTAGCTCTTTCATCCTGCAATTCACATACATTGTAGTCATATAAAGGGGATAACTTCAAAAGGGTTATAATTCCTACCAAGTGCTGAACTACTTATAAAGGGATACAGGGAAAGAATTGGACAATGCTCCAAATCACCTGCTGCATCAGACGTGTAAGAAAAAGTTGAAACTAACCCTCTATGCCATTTATCTGTATGTTTTCCAGTTACTAGACTTCAATCTATCACAAACAGTTGCCTCATCAAACACCATATAGATCCATATACAAGCAGCTGGTAATTTAAAGACAAAGCGTTGAGAGAGAGAGAGACATACGTAGGAACACCAGGTCTAGTGACCATGTAATAGTTGATCCCATGAACATGCGAGTTAGGGATTAGACGTTCAGGATTCACTAGTGTCTCGAACGTGCTGTTCTCTCCACCTCCCAGATCACGAAATGCAATCTCGATAATCCGATCAAACTGCCTGCTAAACCCTGTCGTCTCGAGATCAAACACTATGACCGTCACAAGCTTGTGCAGGTCTTTGCTCTCAGCAAGCTGCTGTCTTATATCACAAGCTGACCCGAATGCCAGAAGCTCATTCAGTTCTGTTTTGTTAACTACTCTCAATGTAGTAGCACTACTAGTCGAAGCAGCAGCAGCAGCTTCTTCCTCTAGTATTTTATTGTGACTGGTGGCTATTGTCTTTCTAGTTTCGGTGGTTTTGCTTCGAATCCATCTTCTACTGTACCCTCCTTCGAGTTCATTGGGTTTGGAACTAATAACATTAAACCTCCTATGGCTTCCATGTTTGTTGCTTGACCTGTGGAAGCTATCCTGCCAAAGACTACTCAAGGAATGGATTCCATACCGAGGGGATTGTAATAAAGAGAAGCACATGGGAAATGCCCTCATCTAACCAAGAACAGATCGTTGAAAGGATTCTAAGAGGCCAAAATCCTTTGCATCACAGCCCAGATCACTTAGAAACTAGACCTGCAAATGAGTAAAGATAGAAGGCCGATTAGAGACATTCAACGAACACTTTCAACATCCTAGAATCAAGCTTCGCCAAGAAATAGCAGAAACACATGTTTAATTCAAGTTATAACCTAGGATTATTCTTTTTTGATGAATAACCTAGGATTATTCAAAGATAGATTGTAATGAACAATCTAGTTATATGCTCAACTAACTTCAACCCAATCAAAGATGAACACTCCGTTCATTTTAGTATGATTTCTTTCCACCAAAAAACAGACCGATACTACTTTTAACTGTTGCCTCTCCATTGGTTTGTCCATACCCAAGATTTAGCAAAGCAGAAAACGATTGATACCAGAAAAGAATCCAGAACTTGCTTCAACCACGAATCCAGAAACGATTGGACAAGCAATGCAGCAGTTCAAAGGTTCTATTTTAAAGCTAATAACGTAGAGCGAAGACAAAACATGAACAAAGTTGAAGTCTTCCAAACTAACTTCCAATCATATAAAAATTGAAACCCTCAAACTAGACAGAAACTAAGGAGAAGCCGAGGAAATTTGAGCTTCAAAAAGATTGAAACTTTCTGTTCATCCCACTTCACCCACGAACACCATTTCCAACACTGGAGCGAGGGGAAGCAGAAACAGCGAGAATCAATGGCTTCGAAATCATGAGTTTCCCCCAATTCAGGGTTACTTTCAGCGGAACCAAATAAGGGACGTAGAGGAAATAGAAGGAGAGGAAGTGTAATCAAGCTTGCCTGGTGAGAGTGATTTGGGGAAGAAGCGGGCATTTGGGGGAGGTCAATGGAAATGGAGGAAGCGATGGAAAGTGTGGAATGAAAGGAGAGCTTGAAGAAGAAGGGGGAAATGAAGAGGGAATGGAAGGTTTCGAATGTGGGGAGGGACGAAGAAAGAGTGGGAAGAGAGGGCAGTTGTTTCTGCGTGGGTTAATAGCAGAGCAGTTTGAGACCTCTCGTCGTCAGAGAAAGAGGGAATGGGAAGCAAAGGAAGAAATTCGGGCCAACGTGAGCTCCGGAACCGGCGGGCTCGGATCCACCGGACCTCCCCACTCTATCCAATTTTTCAATAAACTACTCTTTTTCTCTTTTTCCTTTTACCTCAATTAGTAAGGTTGTTTTTTTGGATGTATAATAAAACAAACAAGTAATAATTTTTTCCCCTTATAAACAAGAATCCAAGCATATAGTGTCATCACCAGTTTGGTGTGAGTAAATTATACAATCGTACTTCGAATTGATAGATTTTAATTTCAAAATTTGTAATTGACTAATTTCTCTCCTTTTATTTTGGTCATAGTCCTTTTAACGATATGATCAACTATTTATATCCTGTTACATAGCATATTATAAAGTGATTGACTGCCTGATGTGAATTGTGATTGAAAATTTTGCATATGTACTTTTCATTTAGAAGGCTGGGGTTAAAACCTATGTAATATGAGGAACATATTTCAAAGAATGGAATATTTATTATTAGTTTTAAATGTGGAGGTCTCATATTCGAATCGTATGTAACACCAAATTAAAAATCAAATCTATATCACTTTTATATAAAATAAAAAAGAAGGGAGCATTTATCTTATTTTCGTCTACATAACAAATGGAGGGGGAAATTAAAAACAAATAGAGAAGTTACTAAGTGATGTATTTTAATTACAACAATCGCATAGTGAACATTGATAAATTACAGGAATGTTGAAATACATCGAAATTCTCAGTCTCTTTTAGTTTGTATTGACTATCTAATAACTATTTATCTATCAAAAAATCATGTAGCAATAACTTGTTAAATTGGTAGGTGATAGTTGATCATGACGACGAGTAAAACTATAGAGATCGAAAAACTTGATATACCGACATACCTAAAGACTAATTTGAGATATCGATTAAATAATATTTTTCATGTGTTCATTTTTTTTCCATTTAATTCGACGTAAAAAAGAAGGAAATGTTTGTGTCTCTCGAGATCTTCAAAACTCATTAGGCAATTAAATAACTAACACCTCACATATAATGGATTTCTCCCCCCAAATGCTTTGCTTGAAAGGAAAGGTTTTATTACAGTAAAAAAAATAAAAATAAAAACAAGAGGGAAGGTTTTGGGGGTCGGGTCGGGTTGGATTTAACCGGGTTTGGGGTTTGGGTTTCAATTGTGACGGCAAAGGAATATGCGAATGGGAAGTGGTGTGGCACATGGAAGTAACGTGTAATCTTTTCATTCCATTTGGGTATTGCTTAAGGGACACTTCCTCATTTGAGCAATCCCTACTTTAACCTTTCCAAGTTGGTTAGATAACTTTGCTAAACCACTCTCAACTCAACATCGCTTTAAAATAATTTGCTTCCAATTCATCTCACATGGAAAATAGATATTAGGCTAGTAGTTTGTGGGGTGGTTTGCTAGAGTCATTTGAATGAGTAATTTGGTTCCTAATTTGGTCTCGAATGACTCGTTTGCTGACAAAAAAATTGCATGAGTTATTTGAATCATACTAAAGTCTCAAATGACCCTATTGAGCCATTTTCAGATGCCTCCTATCTATCAGTCACATGGAAAATAGATTAGGCTAGTAGTTTGTGGGGTGGTTTGCTAGAGTCATTTGAATGAGTAATTTGGTTCCATATTTGGTCCCGAATGACTCGTTTGTTGACAAAAAACTGCATGAGTTATTTGGATCATACGAAAGTCTCAAATGACCCTATTGAGCCATTTTCAAATGCCTCCTATCTATCAGTCATTGCAAAATAACTCATATTTTAGCCAACCTTTTCAATTATGTGCTTGTCACTTTTCCATAAACACTTTTACCCTTGCTTTTCTATTACTTATTTCCCTTACCATTCTTTCTGCCAAATTTTACAAGCGGTGATGGGGACATCCATCTTATTGTCTACATCATTTTCTCGTGACTCTACCTCTTCGTAACATCGGATTTTTCGCCTTCAAGAATACGTCGTAATTAGCCCAAATGTGAGACTCCTGGAGTCATTAGCTTTTATAACAAAATTTATCATAAAAATATTATTTAATATTAGAAAGTATTATACATGACTCGTAATCATATGTTTTGTTGGTTGCAAAATGATTTTGTTACGTGGTTAGTTTTATGAGGATATGAAACAAGATAATGAAATATTAAATGCAATGGCAAAATGGTAACATTTAGGACTGGTAAACGGTTTTTCAGTAAAGGGTTTAACCGGTAACCGGTGGTAACGGTTGGCGTTGGACGAAAAGGACTGAACGGTATACCGGATAGGTTCCGGTAATTTACCGTCGGTAAACAAGTTAAGCGAATACCGAAAATCCACCAAGTGACAGCAGCAAAACGATGGTGCTTTGATTGACAAATCCGCTCCAACCCTATTTGCGATCTCTTCCCCTCTAGCCTCTGCTGCCGCGCGACAAAGCTTATGTTTCTCTCCGGTCTCCATCTTCTTCTTCACTCCTCTCCATCTCTATCTCACGATTCTCACCACGCAGAGAAGGAGAAGCCTGGTCGCTCAATCCCATCCCAGTCTTGCGTCATCCTCACCCTCCATGTCGGCAGCCGACGGAATTTGTTCTAACTCGTTGTCGTTGAAGCTTCCGTGATCGATAACACGCCAGCTCTTCTCAATCCCCTCCTTGCGTTTCCTTCCCCTCTTCTCCCTGTCTTCTTCACCTTCACAAAAGTTCCCATAAAAGAAGGAAATCAAATATAGTATCAATCTAAAAATCACCCAGCTGCTCCACCACTTTCCTTCCTCCTCCTCTTTATCACCCTCCACCATTGCTTTCTTGAGCGAGCGCTTGAGATGAGAGGCAGATCGGATGAGATTTCTCGGAATCTCCGTTGCACGTATCTGGATGTGATGCCATTGGACCGATCGGAGCCCGAAATTGGAGAACAGGGGTGGGAACTCCGCGTCCAGGCTGTCCGTCTCCGTCTCTGTTGCCGCCGCTTCCAGAACATGGGTTTTCAGTTTAGAATATCCTCGCGGCCGTTCACAAAGGGGAGATCTAACAATCAACTATCTGGGTAGGAGTTACCGCCGCTCGATCTCTCCGACTCAATTTGAGCTTTGAGGAAAAGAGGAAGTTGTGAGATCGTTTGATTCCCTCTCTCTGTTGCTCGATCTCCAATGCTTGATCCGTCGCTCGATCTCCGGCTAGATCTCCATCGCTCGAACACCAGCCCTTTCCCTCGGTGTCGCCGGTGAAATGGTTCCACTACCACCAGTTGAGAAATAGCGTCCTTTGTTGGAAGGATGAATGAGGAAAGAGGAGAAAGGAGCGGTGGTGATGGAGGCAGGGGAGAGGTCGAGAGGCAGAGAAACACGAAACGGAAGAAGCAGAGGAACACGAAAAACACAGCAACATGCATTCGGTAAACGGTGTACCGACCAAAAAACGTGAAATACTAATTCGGTAATTGGTGTACCGATGTGCACTCGGTATCGGCAAACGGAGGCGGATATGGGAGTTCCGGTATACCGGTAACGGTCAAACGCTAACCGGTTTAACCGGTTACCGATCGATTATCACCCCTAATAATATTATACAAATGACCCATTTATGAATGACTCATCTAACAATTGTTAAACAAACAATGAATTTGCAAATGTCTACATTTCTCAAATGTCTATATTTGAGCAAATGACTCATTTTGTAAATGACTCATGCAAACGACTCTTCTATGTAGGGATGGCAATGGGTCGGGTTGGGCCGGGTTTTTACAAACTCAAACCAATGGGTTTATCCCTGAAAAAAACACGGGGTAAAACCCACTAGGTTTGGAAAACTCAAACCTGGGTATCCATGGTTTTTTGTCGTAAAAAATTTACAATAACAAGTTCTTATCAAAATAAAAGTCAAATATCAATCTCTCAATACAAATTATCCATATATAAAACACCATTCAAGAAAATTCAAGCAAATCACAAATTAACCATACAAATTGTTCAACACCAATCTAGAAAACTCAAGAAAATTGAAGCAAATCACAAAGTATCCATAAACAACATGATTAATTGAAACC